TTCAACGCAATCAAGACACTTGGAGGGTTTTCTGCAGAATGTCTAGTCTAATAAATATTTATAAGTTTCAAGTTCATGCAGTAATTAACCAAGAAATAATCTCATAATACTCGTCTTAAATTTGTATAAAAAATGCAGGAAAGATCATAAAATAACCCGTTACAGTAAAATTCATCTGCAAAACATTATGTTTTTGGGGGGGACTAATTTTTTTTGGTTTATTTTAAATAGATTGGCAAAAACCCCTAAAAAGAAAAAAACATATTTCATTTTTTTCCTTTTCAAAACCCCATAAATAATTAAACTTTACCCTCAAAAGATTGGACAATTTTTTAAATTTCAAATGTTTAAATGAAATTTACATTTAAATTTAAAAGTAATGAAATTTACTTTTTAACTCTATTTGTTTTTTTTGGGGTTTTTCAGTATTAGAAGGGGTAATTTTAAAAAAGGGGCTATTTTCCCTAAAAAGGGGAAAAAGGGAAACACTGGACATAAAACCCCATAGATGAAAAAAATTTAATCCAAAAAAATTTCCCTGTTTTTTTCCCTTTAAAAGTAAATAAATCATAAAAATGTTTGTGATATGTGGTTATAAAAAATTTCCCCAATTTAAGTTAAGATTTTTTGTTGGGTTTTATCTTTGGGAGAATTTTAGCCTTTGGGGATTTTCCCAAACCTAAGTATAATATTTGACAAAAACACAAGGGGAAACTTAGCAAAAAATGCAGTTACTAGAAAACCTTACATAGCCCTTGGGTACTTTTCCTTTAAATATACAAAAAATATATTTTTAAAAAAGGGACAGTTATATTTTATATCATTTAAATCCCTTTATCAAAAGTCAATCAAACAATCAATGTTCTTTAACAGCCAGTTTTCATGCTAAAGGGTAAAAGGATCTTACATTGGGCTGGGTTAGGGGGGAATTTCTAGCTTTTTAGGAAATTTTTTTATGGGGGGCATAAAATGGGGGCCCTCCCCGAGTTTCCACGGGAAACATTTTCCCCCGAAAAGCTAGATATTCCTGTCTTTTAAGGGACAAGGGTTTGTTTGATTCTTTTTTTGCATTAACAAAGGGATCAGTTTTTCCCAGATAAAAATTTTACGATATTGAAAAGAAGGAAATTTTTATTAGTACTATTTAACTTATACAAATTATTTTTTTATAAAAAATAACTTGTAAAAATCCTTTTTCCCTTGAATGAAAGAAAAAACCCAAATTTATCCCTAAAGTCAATCTAAAAATTATATTTTATTATATTAGAAAATGTACTAATAAATATAATTTTATTAGCCCTTTAATTTTCTTAAAAAAAATTGAAAAAGAATCCCAAAAAAAAAGATAAAAAACAAAAAGGGCCATGAGGGCCCCTGGGGTTCGTTTCACCTGTAAAATTAGGCCCCCCCCCCCCCAACTTTTTGGCAGACCCAAATTTTAAACCCCAAAGTTTTTATTTGCAAAACTTGGTAGACCCCATAGAAGATGTTTAATGTTTAACTTTTTAAACTTAGCTCATTGGGGCTTTTTAAAAGAAGATTTTTTTAAAGTTTTTACTATACACATAATAGCTTAAAACAATGCACCCCTGGGGCAGCGGCCAGTTTTTGACCCCAGGGTTTTTTAAATTTGGGAAACAAACTTTGTAGACACTTACTAGAAGATTTTTTCATGTTAATATTAAAACTCGACTCTAGCTATTTGGGTTTTTTCAAAAGAAATTTTAAAGTTTTGCTAAACACATATAAAGAAAATCAATTTTGACCCCCGGGGCGGGGCCAATTTTGACCCTGGGCTTGTATTTGAACAAACTTGGTAAGACACCTATTAGAACATGTTTGATGCTCAATATCTTAGCCATAGATCTTTGAGTTCTTTAAAAGAAAGATTTTTTAAGTTTTTTAACTATATGCATAATAGGGAAAATCAATGACCCCCCCGGGCGGGGCCAATTTTCACCCCAGGGCTTTTTTATTTGAACAAACTTGGGTAGACACAAAATAGAAAATGTTTCTTTGCCAAATTCAAGCTCTACTCTTTGAGTTTTTTAAAAAGGGAAGTTTTTTAATTTTTTACTAAAATGCTTTATAGGGAAAATAAATGCCCCCCGGGGCCCGGGGAAATTTTTTCCTAGGGCTTTTATTTGAAAAAACTTGGAAAGACACCATTAAAAAGTTTCATGCAAAATTTATTTTAGCTCTAGTTTTGGGGGTTTTTTAAAAAAAGATTTTTTTTAATTTTTTTACTTATATGAAATAAGGGGAAAAAATAAATGCCCCCCCGGGGGGGGGCCCAAATTTTTTAAACCCGGGGTTTTTTTTTGAAAAAATTTTGGTGGGCCCACCCCACTAGAAATTTTCTGCTAAAAAATTAAGCTCAAAGCTTTTAGGTTTTTTTAAAAGAAGATTTTAAAATTTTTTTTTCCCGGTTCCCATGGCAACCAGTTTTTTTGCAGGGAAATTAAAATTCTTTGAACAATTTTTAAAGGTGACCCCCAAAGAAAATTCCTGTAAATTTTGGATGAAATTGGTTTAGGGGTTTTTTGAGGAGTGTCATTTAAAGTAAAAGTTTTCCCGGAAACGGAGGGAAAAGGAAACGGGAGGGGCAGGGGAACGGACCCCGGGGGAAAAAAAAGCGATCAAAAAAAGCTCCCCCTTCACTTTGTAAACAGGTGAGCAAAAAATATAAATTTTAGGGAAAACTAAACAAATTTTTTTCAAAATTTTTGATTCTGATGTTTTACACAATTACTTGTTTTTTTTTTAAATTTAAAGGGGGATTTCTTAAAAACATATTGATATCTTTTAAACTTTTCCCATTTGCGGGTAGTACAATTTCGGTTTTTTTTTAAATTTATATGATTGGTAACTCAAATCTGTAAAAAAACTGCAAATGTTTCAATTCTTTTACTGTGGAAAATATATTTTGTGCATAAGCTTTATAAGATTTTAAAAAATGACACAAAATAATATAGAGCTCCCAAAGTCCCTAGAACTTAGTTTAACATTTAAAAATTAAACAGCAAAAATATGACAACAAGATAGAAAATAGAAAATCTGGCTAGACAATTTTGTCTTGAAAAAATGAATATGTCCCATTCAACTTTTCGCTTCCGACCAAGTCAGAGGCAAGTAAAATTTGGGGATTGATTGAAATTTTCTTTTGCCCCCACTAAACTTTAACATGAAAAAAACTGTTTTGGGAAAATCTTTTTTTAAGCATTTTTTGGTTTTTAAAACAAAAGCTGGTAAAAAAATTCCATTTTGGCATAGTAATTTACTGGCAGGGGGTTGAAAAAGGGACAATTTTTTTAAATTTGTAAACAATACAAATGTAGTGAATCTGGAGATTTCTAATTTAAAAAGTTTTTTTTTTTCATTTAAACAGCTCAGATAAACATAAATATGATTCACTAAAAATTGTCACCCCAGTTAAATTTAAATGATAAAACCCCAATGAAACTTTTTTAAAAGAGAAAATTAATTTGGAAAATTTTAAAGGGCAATTAAAGGACAACAAAGGAGAAGAAACTGAGTAATAGCAATGTCAATGTCCTTGACATAAAAGAGCTGATTCAGCAGTTTCTATCCAATGCAGATTGTACTCTTTGTTGGGGCCCAGTATTTTTTTTCCATGCTTTTAAAAACTACGGGTCCCCCCCCCCCCCACTTTCAGGCAGTGTTAATGGGTATGCCCTGCTTAACTGTCCCAAGGTTTTTTACTTTAAAAGGTTTTTTCATAAAAAAATTTATCAAAAATTTAGGAGGCTCCAAAATTTAAAAAAAATTGCATGTTTGTCTGATTTTGGCCTTGTTTTTTGGTGATCATTTCTTCTTTCTAGTTTTTAAATTTATTTTGTCATATCAAAGGTGGGGTATCCAAACGAGAACCGCCCCTTTCCCTGGATAATAACAAAGAATCGTAGCAACTCCTGGATTACTAAATGGAATTAATAGTCTCCCAAATTCAGCTAAGCAAGCAAACAGGGGCCTTTCATTAACAAAGCTAGTAAAATGCTAATAACAGATTCTTTCTAAATGTACCATTCATAAAGCCTATTGGATTGGGAAAAAAAATGAAAAATAATTTTTTGTTTTACAAGGGGTTTGGGGAAAAGATGACTGTAGGGGCACTGGGGAAGTTAAAAACAGAAAGGGGGGGGGGAGGGGGTTACTTTATGCAAATTTCTGTTTATTTTAAAAATTAATCAAGGGGGTGTAAGGTAAAAAAACCTGTTTTAAAAAAATTTAATTAAAAGTCAACTTCTCTTAAGGCCTTTGAAAAACATTAAGAGGGAAAAAAACAAAAAACATTTTTACAGTCAATAAAAAAGAGCACTCAAATATCGCCTTTAAATAAAAAATTTTTTTTGGAATTTAAAATCAAAAAAAAATCTTTCTTTTGGGGAAAAGACCCCAAAAAAATTTCCCCAAAAAATTTAGATAGAGGTCTTCTAGGCAAAACTAATTTCCAAATTTTAGAGGCATAGGGATTTTTCCCCAAAGATAATTGTTTTTTTCCTATCCTTAATTACCCGAAAGCGTGGGGTCCAAGGGGCTGGGAAATGATAAAAAGTGAACCCCCTTACTCAGAAAGGTCAAACTGCACCTGAAAATTTTTTCATTTTGGTTAAAATTTTGAGACAAAATTTTCTATTTCCCTTTTAATGTTTTTCAAAGAAAACGACCAGACATGAAATTGCAAAAAGTGGAAAGAACGACAAAAAAAACAAAAACAAAGTTTTCACCATTTTTTCAGGTGTAAAAAAAAGTACTGAAAAAAAATGCTATTTAAAAAGTTTCAAACTTTTTTAACCCAAATACCCAAAAAGGTGAAAAGGTTTTCATTTAGTAAAAAGGGGAAAACCAGTAAATAATGTTAAATGTTATCAAAACATATAATACACTGACACAAAAACACATAACAAGTACACAACACTACCAAAAAAGCAAACCATGGGCTATTATTGTTGTTACGATTACATGTAAGTCCCATTTACCAACACAGAAGGAAGGTTAAAGGCAAGGAAATATGCCAACATAGGTGTCAAATAAAGGTTGGGAGAAACAAAACAGAATGAACTGAAGGAAAGGATAATATGATAATATAAGGTTAATCAATCAAATTAATTTGCTATAAAACTTCTTTTGATGTGAAATTTTCTAAATTAAAACAGATGGAAAGAAACCTAATCAAATGTAGAGTGCATATATTATTTTAAATGAAGCTCATTTCTTGATGCTTTTTGCTACATGCATTTCAAAAAGTCTTGAACAATTTCAAAAATATATTCTTTTTAAATGATAAAACTAAGATTTGAAATTTAAATGTGAAATTTATCTCATCAATCAAATATCAAAACTGAAAAATTAATTTTTTTTATCTTTTTAAAAGTACTACACAAAGCAAAGTGGCAGAAAAACATAGCAAACTATCTAAATAAAATCATAAAAAATAAGCTTAAAATAATTTCAAGACTCATGCAAAATATTTGCAACTGAGGAATGAAATAATGAAAGGTGCCTTGCTACAATATGATTGGTTGATTTGTGTGATCAGCTGACCTGATCATGTGACCAACCTGTGCATTTTGTATTGGTCCTGATCCACTTGAGAAAAGGGAGGTAAATCCTCATCTTCCACAGCAGTGCTGTAATAACATTGCAAAAACCAAAAACATTTGTGAGAAGAAAAAATCTGAATTAGTAAAATAATAATTCCCAAATGAATTTTGTGTGAATGAATCATGTGAATGTGTATTCTTCCAAAAAGTTAGGCATAAAGCATTAACTATCATGCAAAAACAACCTGTGTAAAATTAAGCAAATTCTTATGTAAAATGAAAGACTACTGTAGTTTCTAAACATAGAAAGGGTTCATTATTGTATTATTTCATTTCCATTTATTTTCTTGAAGTCCAATTAAAAACAATAGTTCTGTGTTCAACTGTTACAAAATTATAATTTACATGTGTACCAGTCATTTTTATGTATACATACGCCTAATTTCATTACACCTCTATGGTTAAGTGCAAATCTTTATCAGACTTTTTATTTTCAATGGCTTTAATATTCATTAATGAAATATTCAACTTAACAAGGTTTACACTTCATTTATTTCTTCAGATTAAACCATGTGTAAATCAAGTAAGCATTTAATATTTTCTCTTATTTTTTTTCATATGTGATCCAAGTTCTGTTCAATTTTTATAAAATACAATCATACATTACTCAAAAGTCTTATATAAGTCATATCTTGCATTAATTGTTCTAGATAAAAACCGACACTGTTCACAAAAGTATATTTTTGATATTGCTGAATGTTAAGGTCATGACCTTGGACATGTTACATTAAGGAACCCACATATGGCATCATACCTATATTCCACATACAGTAGTTTTTTAACAGAAAAATAACTTTATCAAAGAAGTAGGAATGTGTAGCTGTAAAATAAATACGATTATTTGACAAGATTTTATTCAGATGTCTTAATTACTAATGTATTTGAAACATGCATGAGGAAACATTTGTATTAAAGCCATCGTAATGCTGGTATATCTATAATGTACATGTATGTTAAATTGAGAATAATTTAAAATTTGACACACTAAAGCTAGAAATGAAGTAAAGTTTCATTATAGTATAAAGACAGATTTTTCTCCAGATTATATGTATATAATTATAATATAATATAAACCTTACCCAAGATTATATATAAACACACACACTATTAACAATTAAAATCACATGCATGTAGGCCTAAATAAAGATAACTGTCGGGAAAACACTGACAGGTATTCTGAACAGATTTTATATATATTTAATTAAAGTAGGCAACTTCCATGTATTCAATGGTGGAGGAAGTCCCTACAATGTCCCTTTTTTGCATTGTTTCTTGCACAAGCTGCAAATCGGTAGAACCACTGTCCTGAATTTTACAAATTATCATCAAAAACACGATTTGTGCATTCTGCCATTACTAAAATATGTGTTTAAAGATGCCTGATGGAAAGGAATCTTTCTTTAGGCCATATAAATGGATTATTTAGAAAGAATAGCAAAGGTGGTGCACAAAATTCAATTTAAGCATGTTACAGTGAAATCATATATTCTTTGCACCAGAAACAAATATTTCTTAAATGCTTTTAGTTTATGAACTTTCTAAGAAAATATCCGTTTCCTGGCCTTTCCCATAATGAAAAACCATTATCCCTGAAAGAATTATTTTATCTTTAAGCTCATGACCATTCTGACAAATCTATATTATCATTTAACAAAGTGTTGGCCACAATGATTCATCTTTGTGGAAAGGTCACAAAAGTTCACAAACTTTGGCACATAGAAAATTATTTAGAAATGTATATTGTTAAATAAATGTATCGTACCCAGCTTTCCGTTTAATCTTGCTGGAGTGAGGAGAGGGTGACTCTTGTTCTTTATCCTCGTCCTCAAATGGCGAGTGAGGGCTCACTGAAGCACGCTGGTACGATACAGACTGAGCCTTCTGGGCCGGTATTGGTGCTAAAAAATATACTTATCATAAAATATACATATCATAAAATTTAATCAACAGAAAATGTTTTTATGACCTTTCATATCTAAACCAAGAAATCTGAATACCAACAGCTCAACATATTCTCAACAACACACAAAATTAAACGGTTGTGTAGATAAATTTGTATGGGATTTTTATTCAGTTTTGAATAATTATATTATTCAATTTTCTATTATTTATACTTATATAATGATAAAAAAAAAAACTTTTATCTTTTATATACATTTTAGAAAAATTTTGGCATCACAAAAATACGAAAAAAAAATTATTACATTATTTATCATATTCAATAAATTCAATCTTACCTTGACCGCCAATATTTTCATGTAATGTTGAGAAGTCAAGTGGAGGGACGAATGGCTTGGCGCCCAGCAATGGTGACTTATCAGGCGAAGCATTGGCTTTATTAGAAGCCTCTTGGCGAATATCAAGAAACGCTATACGCTCTCTTGCATCGTTCTGGTTCAATTCTCCATCTCTACGTTCCCGTGGTTTGGGTGCACCAATAACTCCATTCTGTTTCAGGGTACCGTTAGGTATCTTTTCATGGTCCTCTTGTTGATCCATTATTTCTTCATCAGTTTCCATGGAATTTCTCCGTAATTTTCTGCTTGGCGAACGACGATTTGGAGGACCAGCTGGTTTCTTAAACTAAAATTGATATACAAGTCATTTTAATGAGAGATCAATCTAGATTTTACTCACTGAAAATATATAAACTACACAAATTGAATAACAATAAAATACATATGTTGCAATGGTAAGTTCTTTTCAACAAGCTGACTAACATGTATAAGTAAGCTTCAACTATTTGTGAATGAAGTCAATTAAGGACTGGTTCTGGATGCTCTTTCTGAACCTGCAAAGGCACTTGGTAACTACGTACTTTCCTATGGCTAAATCATTCACAACCAAATGGAAATTGCAATACAGAATTGGTTTGTCAAAAAGATAAATATCATAATCAAATTTAGGAAAGATATTCATAATATGACAACATACACAAATGATTTAATCAAGAAATAGATATACTGTGAGAAAACAGTACCTATACTGTAACTATATATAAGATATAATCAAACAAGTTCAAAAATTTAACCATTCTTATCATAACAACACCTACATTTTGTAGTGGATCTGAAGTTCTTCTAATTTTTTCAAATCCTTGTTGTTCTTTAACAAACTCTTCTTCTTCTTCTTCTTCACTCTCATCATGATTTACTTCTGCACTGACATTATGCGGCATCTATAGGTGAAAATTTAGGTTGGACCCTTATTAAGCTTAGAACACATGCACTTATTCTCAATTTCAATGTTAAGATCAGCCTCTGTTGAAATCACACATTACCTTGAGATAATCTATTTCCCCATAATCAAAGTTAAAACAATCAATGCTAATTGTGAATGATAAGTTCAAATTTATATCAATTTAATAAACTTGTTTCCAAATATTCAATAGTCTAAATCAAGCTCAATTTCCTATCTATTTATCTTTATTATACTTTTAATCTAATAGATGTCAATTTACTGAAATAGTTCACATTAAGTTATATATAAAAACAGCAAATGTTTATTAAATTCCAGTGATCATTTACTTCTATTTCAGGTTAAAAAGGGGGAAAATTGTCCAATCAAAAGATAATGTGGTGTCAGATGACTCAAAGTACATGTATATACCAATTAAATACCAATTAATATAACATGCAGCACTTTGTTGCCTTATATGGACTAAGCTATTGATACCTCTACAAAAAATCAATAAAATAAAGTTTATTAATTTTAATCATTTAAACTTCCTTTTTGGGAAAAATTATTATAAATTGGGACAAGAATATGGGGTGGGGAAAATTCTTGGGGTTAAATTGGGGAAAATTTAATCCCCTTTAAAAGGAAAACCCTTTTTAGAAAGTCAAACTTTTAAAAAAAAAAGAAATTTTTACTGAAAATTTTAAAACAAATCATCAAAGGGTTTTAAAGGGTTTTTTTATAAAAATTAAAAAATGAGAATCTTTTAAAAAATTTTGTTTTTTGCCTGCAGTATGCTTAAGGAAAATTTAAAATAAAATAACTTTTACTTTTTTTACAGTATTTTTAGTAATTTTTTTTTTATGCTTATTCCCCGTAAATTTTGGGGTTCTAAAAGTAGATCATTTACAATTTTTAAGGAGTTTTTCCCACAAATTTCTGTTACTAAAGTTTCCATTTTTTTACTTAACACTACCAAATTTATTCTCACATTTTCAGTTTCCACTAACCATCTACATATTCTTCCTCGTCACGATGATAAATATTGTTTACTATTTGTTGTTGTTTTTATAACCAGAAAATCTTTCATCTTTTTAATCAAATTACTTCCCTTCTTGCGCTGATAGTGTAGATTCAAATACTGAAACTCTATGTTGAGTTAATCTTTCAATATTTTTTTTTAAGATGAAGAAAAGTTAAATTTTTTGCTTTAGCATGTTTCCAATGGTGATGTCCCCTTAAATGAAAAACCCTACATTAAAACATACCTTACTTATATATAATGATGTATTGTAAACATTACCTGAGTTATTATAATGCCCTTATTCTCAAACATTTCAAATGCCTTAGACTTCGGTCTCTGCCTAGCTGGTTTATTTAAAACGTCATTGTCCTGGTTATTTAAAGTCTTGGGAAAATTTTCCCTTGATTTTTTTTAAAACCCCGTAAATTTTAACATAACTGAAATTAAATTTAGAAATCTTTGTGAAATTTAATGGGGCATTCTGCAACAAAAAAATTGCAGGGTTTAAAATTTTTTTTCTGATAAGGAAACTTTATTTTGACAAAATATAAAATTTTTTTCTAACAAAAGCGCTTAAAAAAACTTTCTTCAACGCTAAAAATAAATGTAGAATTTTTTTAGGAAAAAAAACAAAACTTAAACAAAAAAAAAGTATAAAAGTAAAACTTGTATCTTTTAGTTTTGAAAAATTTGTTCCAACTAAAACTGGGACTTTCCCTGGCGGGGAATACCCCAGGGATACCATTTTCAAAATCAACATGGCCCTTTAAAAGCTCAAAGCAACCTCCCTTTCCAAATCTGATTACTTAAGGCCCGTGCAATTTCTAAGTTATGTATTCTACATGCTTCAAATGTGAAAATGTCAAAATCAATACATTGCGGACAGGACATTCTTTAGCAATTGAGAAGAAAAGCTTTTTTTTTGTCAAGGTCCCTGTGACCTTGACCTTTGACCCAGTGACCTCAAAATCAATAGGGGTCATCTTATAGTCATGATCAACATCCATGCCAAATATGAAGACTGTGGGGTCAAAGGAATCTTAAGTTAATGGGTGGACAAACTTTTTGAAGTCAAAGTCCCTATGACCTTGACCTTTGATCCAGTGACCTCAAAATCAAAAGGGGTCATCTACTAATCATGATCAACATCCATGCCAAATATGAAGACTGTGGGTCAAAGGAATCTAAAGTTATTGGGCAGACAAACTTTTTGAAGTCAAAGTCCCTGTGACCTTTGACCTGGTGACCTCAAAATCAATAGGGGTCATCTACTAATCATGACTAACCTCCATTCCAAATATGAAGACTGTGGGTCAAAGGAATCTTAAGTTATTGGGCGGACAAGCTTTTTGAAGTCAAGGCCCCTGTGACCTTGACCTTTGACCTGGTGACCTCAAAATCAATAGGGGTCATCTACTAATCATGACTAACCTCCATGCCAAATATGAAGACTGTGGGTCAAAGGAATCTTAAGTAATAGGGCGGAAAAGCTTTTTTGAAGTCAAGGCCCCTGTGACCTTGACCTTTAACCTGGTGACCTCAAAGTCAATAGGGGTCATCTACTAATCATGACTAACCTCCATGCCAAATATGAAGACTGTGGGTCAAAGGAATCTTAAGTTATTGGGCGGACAAGCTTTTTGAAGTCAAGGCCCCTGTGACCTTGACCTTTGACCTCAAAGTCAATAGGGGTCATCTACTAATCATGACTAACCTCCATGCCATGCCAAAAATAATGAAGACTGTGGGTCAAAGGAATCTTAAGTTATTGGGCGGACAAGCTTTTTGAAGTCAAGGCCCCTGTGACCTTGACCTTTGACCTGGTGACCTCAAAATCAATAGGGGTCATCTACTAATCATGACTAACCTCCATGCCAAATATGACGACTGTAGGTCAAAGGAATCTTTAGTTATTGGGCGGACAAGCTTTTTTTTTCACGGCCCCTGTGACCTTGACCTTTGACCTAGTGACCTCAAAATCAATTGGGGTCATCTACTAATCATGACTAACCTCCATGCCAAATATGAAGACTAAGGGTCAAAGGAATCTTAAGTTATTGGGCGGACAAGAAAAAACCGACAGACGGCCGGACAAGCTGATTCCAGTATACCCCCCTTACAACTTTGTTGTGCGGGGGTATAATGATCACCCAAAGAGAGAAGATGTTTTTAAAAAACTGTGTACCTGCAATTTATTGACATTTGTGTCTTGTCTACTGCTTGGTAACTACTCTTTCTTAAAGGCACATTATGCCTCAGAAAATTAGTACATGTATATTTTTTTTTAATCCTTTCGAAAGGTCAAACATGTGTTTAATAATGATTAAATAACAAGTTTACAGCATGTTCAATGTTAAACAACTGAAGACAGTTGCACTGAATGTGCAATAATGTGTCATAAAAGGTAGCAAAATGTAAATGAAATAATATCATGACTTTGATACAAGATACTAATTCACTATAATTATACCAATTGCCAACAGAGAAAAAGAAGCAAAAGATTTACATGGCCAATGAGTAAGTTTGGATAACTGTAACATAATTCCAAAAATAAAGTTTTTGTGAAACAAAAATGAAAGCATATCAGGGGCTCAACTGGCCTTTAAGTAGTCGTTGAACTTATAAAAACTTTTTAACCTCTGATATCTCAAAATCAATTATAAGTGTACATCTACTTTTGTCTTTATTTGGTCAGGTTGGGAATGGAGAAAGTAAACCATGGAACTACTACTAGCAGACAAAATATAACCTTCCTAAAATATAAAATTTAAGCATTCTTTTTGAAGAATCACACCTTAAAGTAATTGTGGTAAAGTGTTTCATTAGAGGAAACTGTGAGATTAAACTAAAACTAATCAAACTCAGAGGTCCATAATAAAAATAGAGTGAAACTTTTGGCCTCACCTTTCGAGATCATTCTGGTTATTACTCTGCACATCAGCTGAAAATATAAAAATATATTGTCATTTCAATACAACTACCAGATTAATATCTTACAAAAGCCAACTCAATATACTCAAACAGTTATGTCTCAATACAGAGAATTAAAACTGAAAGTAAGATGGAGAAAATAACATCATTTTAGTGCAGTAATGGGTTAACTCCATATATAATTTAATAGGATTAACTCGTTATGCATTAACGTGATGATAATTGCTGAAACACAGCAATGAGTCAGCCAGACCTCAAGGAAATATTTGAATATTGCAGAGAGGAATTTAAGTGATGATAATTTCCCAATATCACTTATACAGCAATATTCGTCATAAACAAATATGTTCCTATACATCATAACTTACACTCTACACACTGGAAACTTCTATGTTTCCATTATATATCTGAACAATATTAGACAATGTGTCTGTGGGTTAAAAATAGATTAATAATAATATTTTCAAATTTGAGAGACTTTTATACACCGATATACCACTGACGATGGATAAATCCATTAAAAATATTGAGCCAGTTATAGGGTTAAAGCAATAACGCCATACCTGATTCTGACTGGTCCTCTCTAATGGTTGTATCTATACTAGCATTAAGCAGCGACGACTCATCACCAAATAAATGCCCTATCACAGTTGCTTTTATGGCTTTATCCACAAACCTGAAAAAAAAAAATTTCTTTCAATAAAATAAAAGTATAGTCTTATGATTTGTTCTTCAGTAAATTTTACTACCAGTCTAATTTTTTGATTGTTAATTCAAATCTTCCTGCCGGTGGCAACAGATTCTACCAAAGTGACCAGTGCCGACTGCCCATGGTCTGCACTGTTCGACTATTCAATCAATAAATATTTTGAAACTTTTCCAAATAATGATAAATGATTTTGTACGGATCGAAACATGAACAAGTTCATTTACGATGTTATATTCATCTTGTCTGTATGTCAAATATATTCGGATTACTACAATTATATCAGTATTTCAATATTTCAACTGGATCAAAACTGTTATGTAGTTGAGAAGGCAATAACTCAGTATCAAAGGGCAATGTGAAACCCAGTAATTATCTCTCATTCACGATTCAGCTATTACATCTTATTACATCTTTTAAAATTATATAATTTTCCTGTCTGATATTGGCAAATATGGAATAGGTTGGAAATTTAAAAACATGTTTGATCTCAGATGTTGTATTCAGATATCAATTAAAGGCTTTATGTTAGCCAAGATTACAATTATTTGGTCACAGCTGAACATTCAACTCAATATGCCAGATGTATAAGTTCTACTGTTCTAATGACCTTTTCCAAGAAAGGGCAATACAGAACTTTAAATTCTTTATAAAACAATGTACTTGTATATAGTTCTCACTACTGCAGCTGCCAGCTATAAATAAATTCTTATAAAATATCAAATGAACAAAATTTTTGTCATGTTCAATAACAATCTGCAAATATAAGTCGACTTGTTCCAGAACTTTTTTTTAAAGAAAATAAATAAATAAAAAGACCCGCTGGTACTTTTGAGTTATAATTTCAACATTTAACAATTTTCTAAATAAGTTCATCATATTGACGTCTAGGCTTAATATTTATGTATACACAATTATATAGCCATAGACAACCAACTTAAACAAAAAAAAAAAAATAAAGAAGTTAAAATTCAACAAAACCCTTCTACATCTTCCAAATCCATCCTTACGCCATACAAGGAAAAGAATTTATCACTATTTTTACTATTCCAAAACGGGAAAACGATAACAATGATATCATAATTAGCAATCTAGATGATAGAAATTAATATGCATCACATGCGCAGCACTTGTATAACTATATATATATTTTCAGACAGCAGACGACATCAGTATATATCAATGTGTAAAGCAGACGACACCTAACTAAATCAGAGAGAATTACGGATTCTGTCTATAAAACACCAGAAAGCTTTAATCATTATCACACAGCCTAGACACAAAACTGTCTATTAAAATACTGAAGTCTCCTAAAAATAAACATCTTTATTAAGTCATTATATAAATTATATGAAAATGTAGGTAAAATATTGCAATCTATCACAGTACATCATACTACTGACATTTTTAAAGGTGACTTTTTTCAAAAAAAAAAAAAAAAAAAAAATGAAAAACTGATTCTTTATAAAAAACAAACAAACAAAACTAAGCACACGTCAATAACTTTAAGTATCTCTTTTTATTATTCTGTTAAAATAAATAAAATATGACAAGACAACAAATCAGATATGTAATTTTCATAATCGCATAATTTATAAAATATGCATGTGCACATTAAAAAATCTTTTTTAAAATGCTCTTTTGCAAAAAATAAAAAATAAATAAATAAATAATTAATACTCAATTTTTTTTTTTTCAATATGCTTCAACATATACATAACAATTTAAGAGCATACAATATTACATGTAATTCATACCAATTCATAAACTCTGCAAGCCTCATTGTTATTATCTCTACAATATTCCCCATCTATCCAATAATAATTTTGTTGAATCAGCAAAACCATTTACATTAAAATGTTCATCAACTCATAACTGAGTAGTAATCCATTCACATAAAGTTCTTTTGCTACAATGTTTCTGATCACTTTACTTCTCCCAATTCACATGTTTAGCAACACTAGCATGACCTTTATTGGTTAAAAGTAGAAAGTGATGTAATCCTAAAAGCAGATTTCACAATTCTAAAAATAGAACAGACTCATGTACAACTCCTGCTACATTCCTGTTTCTATATATAGAACTGACAATGGGTGCGGTAAACCATATAAAATACATCCAGCAAAAATATTTGTGGTTGATAAAGGTAATATATCAATCAATAAACTTTGCTAAACACTGAATCACATGCACTTACACTGCTTAATAAAAGTAAACAAAATATTTTAAACAAACTGTAGAGAGATCATGTTTCTATAATGGTTAATTGGCAATTTTTATGAAATTAAATAACAAAATGTTGGAGTATTTCCAAATAAATGAAATATTTGTGTGTTATTATTCTAACCTAATTCAAAAATCATGGAACCCAATGACATTATCATTGTTGGAATTCAATTTGTTTTTTAAGTTTACCAGACATGATTATGTAAACACATATTTTTTATTTCTTATTTTTAGGACCATTTCAATGTTTACAGTTATCATAAATAGATTTGCACGAAATGTCAAACTGAGCTAAACTAGGACACAGATGCCCCACGTTCCATTGTTTTGTCAGTCTATAGATGCAGGGAGAAGCGCATTTCTCTACACATAAAAAAATGCATGAACAGTCAGTCTCATACTGATGAACATGCACCGTAAAATTCCATAATTCATGATGACTGAATGATCAACTTAATTTTCTTATCTAACCTTGGACCTCTGCATGTGTCCTTGAACTTGGCAAAAGGGACCTGAATTTTGCACACAACTATGCTAATGTTAAACATTTTGAAATTTATAATTATTGTTTGTTATCACACCAACATTGTAAAGGTCATAATAATGGTGACTTTCCAGCTTTTCTGGTGCAGGTGTCCCTACATTCATTATTTGAGAGCATTCTGTAAGCTAGCTGGATAAAAATTCTTTAAGTCACAGGCAGGTTTCAACCAAAAGTGGTGAGGGGCAAGTGGTTTGAAGTCAACAACCTTTACAACTTGGCCATGGATACCCCTGCCAATTTATATAAAAATCGTTATGTAGAAGTTTCAATATCAACAAGTGTTTCCTATTGACCTCTGAAATGTGACCTTGACCTTTGACCTGCTTTTTGATGGTGAACATCTGTGTCAAGTAATACTAAGATCTCAAGCATATATTGACCTTGTTATGTTAACATTACTAAATATATTGACTGTGAGCGTTTGTGAAGAAATCCCCCTTTTCAAGACTACAGAATTGCCCATATACATATTTTCATATTTCTTATGTGACATTTGATCATTATCTGTGACCTCAACCTGGCTTTTGTGGGCAACATTGGCCAACACTGGTAAACATTTATGCAAAGTTAACATTAAAATTCCATATATGGAGAAGTTTGTTATGGATACGCTTTTCTTTCTGAAACCTAGAGACCTGGTTCATGTGTGCTATGTTTTGAATATTTGTATCAAGTAATGTTAAAATCAATCTATGCATGTAGAAGATATACTCCTGACAAAATCTGGACATTTCATCTCTTATGACCATATCATTATTGTTTAGTAAATATATTAATTCATCAAATAGTAATTAAATATGTATATATCTTTGCCTCTCAAATTTGACTAAAATATTTGTGGGATAGCCTTCCTTCACCACATAAGGTTAAAATGACCAAATATAGAAGCAGAGCTCCTCATATTATATAAATCTGCCAAAAGCAGATTCTGTATCTATATATACATAGCGAATTTATTTATATAATGATAACCAGTATGTATGTCATTTAAAGATGTTTGTAACTAGGTTATTAAACTCAAAAAATATAAAAACAATCATGCAATGTCCAAAAGCACAAAATAGGATACAACCTAGAGATCATTGAGAAATTCTCGGACAAGGGATGATATTTTGAAGTCATTTACCTTATTTGTTTTGTTTTGTTTTACAGTACACCAACACAATTTAGGTCATATGGCGCCAAAACAGGAAAGATGATTTTGGCTTAAACCTTGAGTGTAACAAAGTTAAGGCAACACCAATGGTCAAAACCAACATACCAGTTGGAGCTAAGAGATGCTTAGACTCCAGTAATTCAAACCCATTAAAAGGCCTCTTACTATCACGCAGGGAGAAACGATGGCTGCAATTCTGATGCCTCAACACTTAAACGCAACCCCTGAGTCACAAGGGGTCATTCTCCATAATACTATGATGACTCAAACATCTAAGCCAAGATACTGTAGTGACAACATCCCAGTAAAACACCAATTTGACAACAAGGCAAAATCATGCAATTTGTTTTCCAAACTATTTAAAGCTCTTGTATTAGTTCTATGACACATTTTGAATATCTATATAATTCAACCTTAATTCAATCTCTATGCTGCACATACCCATGTGACCAGTGCAGACCAAGATCTGCCTACACATCTGCCTAATCTTGGTATTTAAACGTAAAATATTTTTGAAATTTTCATAAAAACTAGATTTATTTTTTGCCGCAGAAATTAACAAGGAAAATCTAAACTTTAGCTACATTTTATTGTTATAATTAGGCTGAAAACAATCCTCCAAAATTCCTCAAGAAATAACCAAGTCAGAAATTCAGCAAAATGACCAAAACCCAAAGCCTACAGTATCCGCCTTATAATCAAATAAAGTTTGAAATGATTCAACAAAGAGTAGGACTAAAATAAAATCAAATCTAATATAAGCACGATACTGACACATTAAAACATTGCACATGCCTGTTACAACACCATTACTTTACAAATATAAAACTCATACTCACTCTGAGGTTCGTGCAGATGGCACTGGGGACTCCACTAAACTGAAACCACTGTCACTGTAATTAAAACATCAAATATTATCAGTCCATTATATATCATAACATCAAATATAATGTAAAATGGATTTCAATTAAATTATTTCACTTAAATGTTACTTAAATTGGACAGGGACTGAAATTCAGAATTTAAAGCTATTGATCCTTCAAATTATAAATAAAACAAAAATCAAATAATATATGTTTCCGATACTTTTATCTTGATAAAGGGAGATAATGTTTATAGGAATAGCAAGAGGAGTAATTTCCCTTGCTAAAAACTGAACATTACAGAGTAGAAGTAAACCAATATCCAATATATACAAGCTTCATATTTTGGAAACTTAGGAACAAGTGGTTACTACAAAATCGCTTTTGATATGGTTACAAATGGGTTTACGTCAGTGACTATAGGGATAAACATAATGGGGAATAATGGGGAAAAAATAATTATCTTATATAACCTGTCTAGATGGAATGGGGATAATCTTCCAGTCATTTCATCATCACTAAAGTTAGGACTACTGTAAGAGTGAGAGTAACGTCCCTTGGAGGAAATGGAACTTTCACTATGGTCAGGTTCCTCTATATCTGGTACATGGAACCCGTCTTGACTCTTCATCTTACTCTGAAATCATCAAAAACTTTAAATTAGACAACTATATTAATTCATATATTTATAAGACAATAGTCATTATTCATACATTATCATTTTATTTTTTTTGATTGTACATTGTATTTTAAGCCACATCGGTCATTTAGTGACTCTCTGACTTAACTGGTGGACACAGACCTTCTCTCAGGTGCTCAGCACAAACAGGAACCAGAGTATAACCACTTGCCGAAGCTAGCTGAATAATTTCCTTATATGAAAGAATTCCATCTTGTCCCTTGCAAGATTTAAACCTACAGCAAAGACAGACAAGTGCTTCAAATTAACAGAGACATGGACTCTTTTGCCTAAATAAATTCATCATTTAAATGTATGATATATTTTCCTTTACTACAATATATAAGATTAAGAAACAAAACATAATAAGCAGACATAAGTTTCAAAGCTGAAAATAAACAAGAGTACTGGTCAACATCTACAGGGGGATCTTAATACCAACAACAATCACATTGGTGTGGGAAGTGAAGTGTTTTTCAAAGAAAACATTTTTTTAGCACAGAATTTGATTTAAATTTCATATTTGACCTTTACAGTCACAGTCATTTAAAGATCAAGGTTTAAAAATAACAAAGTTATAACCAGTTATATCAAAATATTAAGTATATTTTAGAAATTTCACCTTTAAGGTCAATTTATTTACTAGTCAAATTCAAGTTCAGTCTAGTTAACGTCTTCAAGGCAATTTATTAAGAATAAAATAATTATTAACAATGTTAAAAATTCTGGACGGCAAGGAAACCATGATTAAGCACTTAGCTTTAATTTTTCAGCTGAAATGAAAGAATGTAATGTACAAATCATCTTCTAAATTTATTTATTTTTATGAAATGGAAAAGGACATATACATATAACATTTCAGTACATGCTACTTTATTAGGTGCACCATAAATAATGTCAAAATAAAATTTCTAAAACAGACAACATTTCACTTAATTTGGTCCTAAACATAGTAAAGTGACAAGCCAACAAAATGTTTCATAAATTTTCCAGTGTTCGAAATTAGCAGTAGTCCTATAGCCTCTGACTACCAACTTTTCAAAGTAACAAGCCCGATCAGGCTACTGTATTTTCAGAGGCAATATATAAACAACTGTTTTGAACAAATGAATTGTGCTAGTGAAATGTCTTTTGGGCTAGTGAATATTCCAATCTGGTAGTCCGACCAGCCTAGTTGATTCAAATCCGAATTTCTTACACTGATTTTCAGCAAATTTCTCCAGATTTTAGATTACTATAATTCATTTTGTACTTTAATGATTCTCTCTCTACCTCTATATATCACAAAAATATTTATTCCTCGGCATCAAAATAATCTAGAAATTAGCTTTCTTATTGTACAAAACACATTTTCTTATTGGCAAATTTACAAGGACAAACTTGTTATCTCCTTCCATATTGAAAGAAAATAATATCATTTCCAAGAACGCTTCCTTGAAAATGATTTACCAGTGTTCATTCCTAGAATGTAGACACTATGAATCTCGGTGAACTTTCCAAAGTGCGCAAAAATAAAAAATATATCTGGCAACAAACAATGCCGATATCTGCGGTATGTGCAACACTTCAACAGGTGTTTAACAGTTGGAACATTATTCTCACATGATTTAAAACACTGCCAAAATAATCAAGTACACACAACTTGTTACAACACAAACATGGATCAGAAGTACAAGGATGCACTTTATTTATGTATCAAATAATCTGGCAGCATCTCTGCGAAATAAATTAAATATCAAAAGCTTTTTATAAACTAAGCAAGATAATATATATTAAGATGAGAAAGCATGCATCCTGATTAATTACATGTACATTCTAATAAAGATACATAAATATTGTAACATTTCCATATTTTGATTATGACTTAATGATCAAAATATTGCATCTAATTTTATTAAAACATTTGTAATGTATGATAAAAGAATTTCTTTGATTATCACTCAATTAATGCCCTTAAGTTATGAGAATCAGAGATTAATAGAGCTATTGATTTTGCTTAATCTAACAGTGCTACTTTAAATATAATAGAGTAAGTTCTTCGAATGCATATCAAAATTGCTTTTACATTTTTATGACAATTTTATAAGAACTGCATAAGAACAGAGTTGTTAATAGGAATAGAACTATAGGAATTGTGCTAAAAGCATCCCCCCCCAAAAAAAATAAATAAAAAAATCCCACTTCATAAAAAATGTCTGTGCATTGTAATGGTTTTACTTTTTTTATAATTATCCTCCCTCAAAATCTATCAGCATTATTCTATTAAATTATATGTCAGAAATCAAACTTGCACTGTTCATCAATTCTGAAACAGTACCATTTTTCCTATAAATAATTCCAGCAACATTTCTATAATAGTCAATGTATTAATTTCCTACATAATTACAAATAAATTGTCTGCATCATTTTTCTCTAGCTGAGATCTGTAACAATAACCCCCTATATTGTCACCTTAGTGCAATAACTGGTTAACTCCTATTAGATTAAGAAAGACTTAACCCCGTTACTGCACAAAGATGACAAATTATACTGTTCTATATAACCAAAGATGGCCATATAAAATTATCATTACATTATCCACTGTTAATATTATACATTCAACAGTATACTGCCAATTCTTTCTCGGAAATTGCAATCTCATTTTCCATTCCCAACTTCATTAATTGACATTTCTCTGTTCTAATGTTTGATCTAATGACACCATTACTGATCAGGCTTTCTCAGGAAATAAAAGGAAAAAGAAATGTTCATTAAAACCATTGCCTGGTTCAGACAGAGCCTGCAGAGTTTGGGTTATATAAACGTAAGTAATGTCTAGATTTAGGATGTAACTTGACATATATCACTGCAAGACATACAATGTTATTAGGTACTATATGATGACCTTTACATTGTCATAATTGTGAGACACATTGAGTTTATAGTCTGAGATTCCTTCATAAAATTCCTAAGCAACATCTGCCTCCTGGAACTGAAAAGTAGTTAAAAGTTTCTTATGCATGCATATTTTCCTATTTAACAAGCTAAAGCACAGTCGGCAATGCGTTGAATAGTGCAAGGATGTCATGAAAGTCATAAGTCTCCAAACTACTAATTTTAGTTTAGTGCGCAAACTACTAATTTAGAAATTTATTAATCCTGATTTTATTATCGGACTGTCCCCACACAACGGGGCAAACCAGGCGTGGGAACTGATGTTCCTTTCTAATCCTGTAGTATTAAATGCTACACATCAGCATTAGAATTATGGTAACCTATCCAAACTTACATCATTTTTTCGAAGTATTCAATTAATGATTCTTCATTCCTTTATTGTATTATTAACAGGATAAATCTTGAAAACTAATAATTTGCTTTGCTCAGATTGTAAATATCACGGAGGAGTTCAAAATAAATGCAAAAAGAAATGCAATCAATGGCGAGTGATGAACAGCCAATACTATGTTACAATTTTATAAACAAGCAATTATCATAGTATTGCAAGCAATCCATAAGTCCCCTACCGGTAAGAGCCCAAGCAACATTCTAAAGGGCCATTGGCCATTCACTTATGTTCCTATTTTAAGTAAATTTGTTGAAAAAGTTCTTTAAAAGTGATCACAGGAAACAGTTTTTATGTACAGACAGACGGACTGAAGGACACTCTAAAGTTATTTTTTAAACATCCCTGTTATCAAAATAAAATATTTTTAAAATCCTACCATGATTGAAGAAGTTGGAGTAAAAATTACCAATTTCTCAAAAAAAAGTCTAAGTTCAAAAGGGGCATAATTCTGGAAATAGTCTTAGTAGAGTATTGAACACTCACAAATGTTGAGTGATAATAAGAAACATTTATATGAAGTTTGAAGTAGATACATTCAGAAAAAGAAGTTATTAAAAAAAAAATGTTTTTTTCATGAAAATTTTAAGTTCAAGGGAGGTAATTTTGATAAATTTTGCGCTAGAGTTGTAAACCTTGTCACATATGATGTGGTTGATGACAAGCAACTTATATTTAAAGTTTGAAGAAAATACCTTAAGAAATAAAGAACTTATAGTGAAAAAACTTAAAAACTAGAATCAGAAATCTTGAAATTCAGTCTATTTGTTGCCATAGCAACCAGAATTTTCAACATAGGAAGATAAGAAAAGGATGTGCATTATTTCCATACTGCCATCTACCCATATGTCAAGTTTCATAAACATATTTTCAGTACTTTTTGTGTTATCACTGGATCCAGGTTATGTGTACAATTTGCCATATTTTCAGTCTATTTGTTGCCATAGCAACCAGAATTTTCAACATAGGAAGAAAAGAAAAAGACGTGCATAATCTCCATACTGCCATCCATCCATATATCAAGTTTCATTAAAATATTTTCAGTACTTTTTGCGTTATCGCGGGATCCAGTTTTGTGGACGGACGGACTGACGGACGGACAGACGGACGGAGGGTAAACCTAAAGTCCCCTCCGGTAAACCGGTAGGGGACTAATAACTGAATATTAGAGCATTCATTTAAAGTTCAAGTCAATACCTATGTAACTGAGTGCATGTGAAATGTAATAAGATGTATGTTGATTTTCATGGATTGTAAAACACCTTTTCTGTGACTATTCTCAATTCTTAGTCTAACTGTTACTAACACACAAGCTTGACAATTGTCCTTTGTAAGCCAAGAGAAAAAAGTTTAGAAAGATGTAAATAGTGCATGTGTTTGAGATGATGTTTTATTTCAAAGAAAAGATAATGCTATACAGAAAGCAGGGGAATCTAAGACAGCATACAAACTATACTGACAAGCTTCACTGATATAGCAACAGCTTATTAAAGCTACATCTGTGATAAGATAGACTCTAAACAAAATAATAATAAATCCTGCAATAAGCCAAACTCTGAACCTAAGCATCAGCATTCTTACTTTCAGCAAATCAAAATTATAACATTACAAGCTTAAATTGAAAAAGTAAAACAAAAATACACTTACAGATTCACGAAATGCCTAATTTATAAAAGCAAAATTACAATTAAATGAATACCAGATACCCCGAAAAGTCTAGAAGTGTTCTATTGAAACTGCAGATGACTCATATCATTAGAAGTTAAATCAAGACTATAAATAGTTGTATTTAATTTAGTTAAATTAAAAAAAAATCATTAGTGAATCATTAAATTCAGTTTTTCAAAACTTTTCAAAAGAATGTGTGTGTGCAAACTCAGACAGAAAATCCCAGGATTTGATGATTTTAATCAAAGACTGCCACATTTAGTATACATGTTAAATAAAGGGGAGGAGCCAAAGCCACACAGCGCTTATCTTACCTTTCTTGGAACTGGAGTGGGTTTGGAGTTTACCTCAACAGTCTCCTCTGGTGTGAACTTTGGAGGGGGAGGTCGGGGCGGGACTATATTGTGCTTTTTCCTCTCCTAGTTATGTACGTAAGAACAAAACAATATCAAAATGCTTGAAAAAAAACTTTGTGATATCAAGGAGTATCTGACTTAAAAATCTGAAGACATTAAAATTTTGATAGATTATAAACAAAAGCTTTCTAATCCATTTTCCAACTGCTTTGTCAAAGGTAAAAGTTTATATCTACTATATTTACCAAGTCAAGTTAAAACTGAATTTCATAATTTATTTCCCTAGAAATAGCCAAAACGTTAACTCAAAAGAACTGTTAGGATAAAATGCCTTGTGGAGATAGATTACCAGTTCCCATTGTAAAGGTGAACAGATAATCTAAGTTTATATTAAATCTTTTGACAATTTGTTAGAGAAAGACCTGAAGATAAAATTATTTTTTTTAATCTTGAGCTATTTCATAAACCTTTTGAAAATTTTATCAATGCAATAACACTAGAAATTCTATTTAACATCTTAAATGGGAATCTTCTCTAAAAATTGAAGATCATTTTTTTTTGTAATTAATTTCTAACACACCACATTAAGGGGGATAATTGCTTTGCACATTTTATTACCCAGACATACATTCATCAATTAACCTCATTGTAATAAATTTCCATTGCAAAACAGCTCTTTTGCATCGTGAAAATTTAATTTCTGTGTGTGTGTTTTTTTTAAAGCATAATTATCTTTTGCTATGTGTTTACCTGCAAATTTTCCTGAATTATTTAAATGAATGGCAAGTCAGACAAATAAAGCTTCTATTCTACAAAATAATAATATTATCTCACCACAAACAAAACAATTTACTGTGAAGTCATTAGTAATTAATCTACAGTGTCTTAAAACATTATTTATTAAACATTCACTTTGAGATATTACCAGTTGTCTGGTAAAACCATTTTTAAACCAAGACAAGTGATATTCAGAATAAAGTAATTTAACATTCTGATAGATATTAAGGCTTCTGTTTCTGAACATTTAATCTGCTTTATCTGTGCTTATGGATTTGCAAAGTTTTAAATTTAGAACAGTCCATCTGAAGTATAAGGGATTTTCACAAACAAGCTACAAATAAAAGTATAAAACCTGGTCAGACGGCATGGAAGTGCAGGTTGGTCTAGCTCTATACAGGTGGCAAAGGTTAATCACATCCAAGCCTCTGCAGGCCAAATGTTAAATTCACTCTGATAAATTTAAATTTATTTCACAAAGATGAAGCTTTCTTTTTATAACACTGTCTATGTTTAAACCTATAAAATTTTCTTTATACATAGATAATCATCATTGTCTATGTATAACAGTCATAAGAGAGGTAGGCAGTATTCAGAGATAGATCTATAATTTTGTTATAATATTGTGCACTCTGTTACAAAGACCTAAATCTTCTTTTTAAAGAATCTTCACTAGCTGTTTTTACTTTGTAAAATTTCCAACTTAAAACAAAAACATTACAATTTATTTATTCATTTATGAAATTTGCCTGGAGCCTCACTACATTGCTTATCAAATTCTTGGCAGATTAATTGTTCAGACGATATTTTTTATTTATTTGTTTATCAATAATTAGCAATTAATATTGCCTAGTAACTTCACAGTAAAGAAAATAAACATATTAACATAATATAACATAAAAATTCTATTACATATTAACTATGTAATCTTTTATTAAGAAACATTAAAACTATTTTTACTGATTCGAAAATTCTTACTTTTATCATTTTCTCAACTTGCTAACTGAGAAACAGCCAGTGTTTGTTTTTGAAAGATATTTTTTAATGCTTTTTCGTTCTTCCTCATGTATATCTATATACCTTTTATTCTAGACCATGTAAATACTTTTAGATATGAATCAGTCTTACTATACAGAAAATTTCAAATCATGTATAAGGAACATGAAATGTTAAATTTCCATTGTTTTCCTTAACTACTTCAAAACATTCACTTAGGAGTTGTGCAAGTTTTTAAGTGTCTAGGGGTGAGGTATTTGCTTTGGTAATATTGTACAAATGTCTTGACTGCATATAGCAGTAAATTATAAATAGAATGTATATAAAGGTGTAACGTCTGCCACTCCTCAATAATCAACCAGAGACTTGATTTCAAAATAAAGTGATTATAAAACTTCAAACTACAATAAAATGTAGACATTATTAAAATTGCAGAATTTTTTGCGAGATTTGTTTACTGTTTACATGTTTTATATACATGTGTATATATTTCCCCTCAAAATTCTTATGAATGAAAATTCTGCACATTTTTTTTTGAAGTAAAAAGTACCCTAATAAAAAAGTTTTGTATTATTGATTTAAGTATCTTTCTCTAAGTAAATACAAGAGAACTTTGGTCAGCATCAAAAATCAGTTTCAGTATCAGTGATTAAACATTAAACATACTTTTACTTTTTCAGCATAAAATTACTTGTTTCTGAAATGGTCCAAAGTGTACCAGGAAGGTAAGAGACTATTAAACAACTTTAAAAAAAAATTTGCATAAAATTCTAAACAAGGAAGTTTAAGACATGTATTTTGTATGCACTTTAAGCTTGCTAGAAGCTATCTTATCACGAATTAGAAGTGCTTCAAGTAGTATAAGTGCTTTTCATATACACTGAATATTATGTTTGACAGATAAATTATGCAACAACACACATGTATATTATTATATATGCATTTCCATGAAGAATTTTATCTATGTTTACATTTCTATCAGAAAATTTTGTCTTTTTATTTTCCCCCCAAATAAAACCTGTTTCATTCATGAAGATCTTACCATTAGTTCACTTCATTAAATTAATTAGTATTGGAGTTTGATGAGGAAACAGGGTTGTGGCCTGAAACTCATGATCTCTTCAGGTTGTGAGGCAGAAGTAACTAAACCAATGACCGTCAGAAGTAACTATTAAACACCTTAATGATCAGGCCATCATTAACTGATTCTTTGTAGAATGTGTATAAGGCCAAAAATTTATTTGTAAATTACTAAATAAACATGCTCCATTGGTATAACTTTCTATTAACTATGAAAATATACAGTAACATTTTTGGTGTATAGTAACAGTTTTTTGAATTGGCACCAAAAATTTAGAGCTGGTAGAAAAGTTGCAAATTTTTTTAACAAGTTCTGAGTGGATGTTTCTGAGATGAAAATATGACAATGAATCCAGATTAAATAACAACCTAACTCAAACCTAATTTCTTGTATTTCACCTCTTTTTGGAATGTATGCTATGACAGAAAATGTACTCATTTCTCCTACAGATTTAAGAATACACCATTAACCAAAAGTTTGTCTTTTAATGTATATCATTGTCAAGTAAAATCTCTTTCTAGACTTATTCTATTAATCAACATGCACTTTGTTAAGACAATATCATTCATCACTTTTAAAGCCTGTAATTGCTCTGTCTTGTACATAAATGGATTTATTTCTTTCTCTAAATATTTTTGTAAGATTCATTCATCAAACCAAAGATAATTAAGGTTAACAGGCAAATTTCCGACGACTGAAAATGTTAGAAGACCTAATTTGTAGATTTTTGATCATGATGTAAAAAATTTTCTTAAAATATCAATACTATTGAAAACCATCCAAATGTCTCCCTAACTTGAATTTTTGTTCTTCTAAAAGTTATACTTGGGGACTATAAAGTAAAGAAGTAAAATATTAATTATTTTATGGTGTATTATTATACACATATATCCTTCTCCAGCTCGAGCTACTATTAATAAACTAGAAATGTGTCATCATGCCACGGATGCCCCCGCATGCAGCCAAAATTTCAGATGTTATAATATTTAGTTCCAAATTTGATTGCACAAATTATTGTTTTCATTTTAAGTTCAAAGCCCTTAAAACTTTTCAACGTTTACACAAACCATTTTCATACAATGTTCAAGGCACTGAAATTATTCAGTCTTAACCTTTTGAAAATAGCATATTTCATATTTGTAGCCAAAATAATGGCTACATACATTTCCACAAAAGTATGAGTGCTGAAACTGAAAGTTCAAAATTTTTCCAACATTCAAGAAAGATAAGTTTGTCCAAAATCATTGAACCACGACCAAATTCAAACTTAAACTGCTTATTCCTAAGATGTATCTATATTATTTTCAAAGTGAAAGGGACATAACTCTGCCAAAAAATCATCGAACCATGACCAAATTCCAACTTGACCTGCCCATTCCTTTGACATATCCATATGTCAAATTTGAGTTGAATATGTAACACTGTTGGGTAGATAATGAACAGAAACTGTAAATTTCATATTATTTTCAAAGTGAAAGGGACATAACTCTGCCAAAAAATCATCGAACCATGACCAAATTCCAACTTGACCTGCCCATTCCTTTGACATATCCATATGTCAAATTTGAGTTGAATATGTAACACTGTTGGGTAGATAATGAACAGAAACTGTAAATTTCATATTATTTTCAAAGTAAAAGGGGCATTACTCTGCCAAAAATCATTGAACCATGACCAAATTCGAACTTGGCCTGGGCATTCCAAAAACATATCCATATGTGAAATTTGAGTTGAATGTGTTGTACTGTTGGGGAGATAATAAACAGAAACTGAAAATTTCATATTATTTTCAAAGTAAAAGGAGCATAACTCTGCCAAAAATCATCGAACCATGACCAAATTCAAACTTGACCTGTATTTTCTCATGACATATCCATATGTCAAATTTGAGTTGAATGTGTTGTACCGTTGGGGAGATAATGAACGGAAACTGAAAATTTCATATTATTTTCAAAGTAAAAGGGGCATAACTCTGCCAAAAATCATCGAACCATGACCAAATTCAAACTTGACCTGTATTTTCTCATGACATATCCATATGTCAAATTTGATTTGAATGTGTTGTACCGTTGGGGAGATAATGAACGGAAACTGAAAAATTTCATATTATTTTCAAAGTAAAAGGGGCATAACTCTGCCAAAAATCATCGAACCATGACCAAAATTCAAACTTGACCTGTATTTTCTCATGACATATCCATATGTCAAATTTGATTTGAATGTGTTGTACCGTTGGGGAGATAATGAACGGAAACTGAAAATTTCATATTATTTTCAAAGTAAAAGGGGCATAACTCTGCCAAAAATCATCGAACCGTGACCAAATTCGAACTTGACCTGTATTTTCTCATGACATATCCATATGTCAAATTTGATTTGAATGTGTTGTACCGTTGGGGAGATAATGAACGGAAACTGAAAATTTCATATTATTTTCAAAGTACAAGGGGCATAACTCTGCCAAAAATCATCGAACCATGACCAAATTCGAACTTGACCTGTATTTTCTCATGACATATCCATATGCCAAATTTGAGTTGAATATGTGCAACCGTTACTAAGATAATGAACGGAAACTGATGATGACGGAATGACAGAATGACGGAAGGACGGAATGACGGAAGGACGGAAGGACGGAATGACGGAAGGACGGAACAGGGTAACACTATATGCCCCGGCCATTACATGGCGGGGGCATAAAAAAACCTTCAGCCTCGTAAACAAACATAAATCTTAGCGTACCATTCCCATTCCATGATATATGATTATCTATTTGTTATGATGTCACTCCATGATCGTACATAAATCACATGTTGAACTTACCCAATAAACTGCAGGTGGGTCCTCCCCCGCCTCCTTGAACAGGTTGTTGTATTCTATGATAAATCTATACACAATCTGATTGGTCGAACCTTGGTCCTTTAACGCTATAAACCCTTTACCACACCTAAAATATTCAGAATGTTTCGATAAATAAGATTTGACAACACATAAAATATTCAGATTTGTTTAATAATTAATCCTTACTTGCAATAATGGTGTAAACAATAAAATCCATTTCTATGCTGCAGGTTACAGTACATTATTTAATTTGTTATTAAACAAGAAGACTATAATGGATAAACTCACTCTTCTGGAATCTCAAAATATTAAAGATTTATTTAAAGATTTCTTATACTATCTATGAAAATGGACAATTGGGAATTAATTATACATAAACTTCCCTTAAAATTATCAGAAATTATTTTATTAATTTTCAAAAAAACAACATGTGGCTTTTTGGTTCGGAAAATACATTGTGGTAAGAACAGGAAAAAAAACCTGAAATCAAACATCAAAAACTGCTACTGTAACATAGCCACCACATATTGAATCAAGTTTTCAATTTAACAATTGCAAGTTATACAGAAGAGGCAATTCATAGTGACAGCTTTTTGTCTTTAAGTCAATTAAATTTATTAACAAGCTGAGCTAAGTCAGCTGCTGTTAAGTCATGATTAATGTGCAGTGTCATTGTAGGGGAATATATACCAATCCAAGGGGAATGTAATTATAGCAACCTTGGGCAAGGAAAAACAACCAGTTTATTCACTGTTAAATATAGAGAAAAAATCAGTGGTTTTACAGATATCTAGCAAACATACAGTTCTACATAACTTTCAAGTCTATTCTGTAGAAAACATAAATCAAAATAAACCTGAATATATTAGGTCCAAACACGATAGCCAAAGCCATGGGGCTCATCTTATTCTCTGACTCATTACATGATACAATGACCAAGAACCGGATGATGTGTTTCAACAGGTCGTAATGTTCCTCCGGTAAATCTTGCAGTAATACTTTCAACAATGGCACACAATCTTTCGAGTTCCGCTGATGCTCTGAAAATACAAAAAAGTGCAATTTTAAGACTGCAAGCGATTTCCTGAAGCCATAAATGCTTAAACAAAAATTTGTGAAGTCTTTGATACCAGATGTAAAGCAAGAACAGGCTCCAAACTGTTTGCTTGATGTAATTCAAATTGTTCATTGTGATTACCCTAAAATTGATAAAAAACTGTTTCAATATGGAACTATATTTGTGATATGAGGCTAATGTTAGGGTACTTTAACAATGGATAACAGGAAAGGACCTCTGAGATAAAGATGTTTTTTCCCAATCATTGACATTTAAGGAAAATATTTTTCTTACCCCGAAAAAAAAGAGGATGGAATATATACATAGCAATGTCTTATTTGACATTTAGAACTGTTTTATTTTTGAACTTTCAGAACAAACAAAACTGTTGGAAAATGTTAAGGGTTAATATTTTCATGTTATTTCAATGTTGCCAAAAACCTATCCAGACTTCCTATATTTTTTTTCTACATATTCTGATGAAATGCAGACATTGCAAGAAAAACAAATTAGTTAATGTTACAGACTAAATACAATTTTTGCTCAGTTGTATACAATAGATAACCAATTACTACATCTATTATATCTCAAGGGTTAAATTCATCAAGTCTAGAAAAACAAATGGCAGAAAGCAGAAAAATATTACAATAATACTTTATTTTCAACATATTTTGTTCAGCAAGTTCTTAGTTTTATGTCTTTATGCAATTTGATAAATATTTTTTTCAATTACAGTTTTTGTTCATCTGGGTCCCCTCCCCCTTACCTAATCAAAAAACAAAACAAGAGGGCCATGATGGCCCTGAGGTCGCTCACCTGTATATAGGCCCCCCCAACCCCCACCCCCCAACGTTGCAGGGTCAATTTAACCCAAGGGCTTTTATTTGCACAAACTTGGTAGACACACATAAGAAGATGTTTCATGCTAAACATCTAAGCTCTAGCTCATTGGGCTTTTTAAAAGAAGATTTTTTTAAAGTTTTTACTATACACATATAGTTAAAAACAATGACACCCCTGGGGCCGGGCCAGTTTTGACCCCAGGGCTTTTATTTGAACAAACTTTGTAGACACTTACTAGAAGATGTTTCATGCTTAATATCTAAACTCTAGCTATTTGGGTTTTTTCAAAGAAGATTTCAAGTTTTTGCTATACACATATAAAGAAAATCAATGACCCCCGGGGCGGGGCCAATTTTGACCCCAGGTCTTTTATTTGAACAAACTTTGTAGACACTCACTAAAAGACGTTTCATGCTTAATATCTTAACTCTAGCTATTTGGGTTTTTTCAAAAAAGATTTTTTAAGTTTTTGCTATACACATATAAGGAAAATCAATGACCCCCAGGGCGGTGCCAATTTTGACCCCAAGGCTTTTATTTGAACAAACTTGTTAGACACCTATTAGAACATGTTTGATGCTAAATATCTTAGCCATAGCTCTTTGAGTTCTTTAAAAGAAGATTTTTTAAGTTTTTACTATATGCATGTAGGGAAAATCAATGACCCCCCGGGGCAGGGCCAATTTTGACCCCAGGGCTTTTATTTGAACAAACTTGGTAGACACTTATTAGAACATGTTTCATGCTAAATATCTTAGCTCTAACTCTTTTGGTTCTTTAAAAGAAGATTTTTTAAGTTTTTACTATATGCATATAGGGAAAATCAATGACCCCCTGGGGCGGGGCCAATTTTGACCCCAGGGCTTTTATTTGAACAAACTTGGTAGACACCCATTAGAACATGTTTGATGCTCAATATCTTAGCCATAGCTCTTTGAGTTCTTTAAAAGAAGATTTTTTAAGTTTTTACTATATGCATATAGGGAAAATCAATGACCCCCCGGGGCGGGACCAATTTTGACCCCAGGGCTTTTATTTGAACAAACTTGGTAGACACCCATTAGAACATGTTTGATGCTCAATATCTTAGCCATAGCTCTTTGAGTTCTTTAAAAGAAGATTTTTTAAGTTTTTACTATATGCATATAGGGAAAATCAATGACCCCCCGGGGCGGGGCCAATTTTGACCCCAGGGCTTTTATTTGAACAAACTTGGTAGACACCCATTAGAACATGTTTCATGCTAAATATCTTAGCTCTAGCTCTTTGGGTTCTTTAAAAGAAGATTTTTAAAGTTTTTACTATATGCATATAGGGAAAATCAATGACCCCCTGGGGCGGGGCCAATTTTGACCCCAGGGCTTTTATTTGAACAAACTTGGTAGACACTCATTAGAAGATGTTTCATCCCACATATCTAAGCTCTAGCTCTTATGGTTTTTTAAAAGAAGATATTTAAAGTTTTTTCTTTCGGTTGCCATGGCTACCAGAGTTCTGCATGGAATTAAATTCTTTGAACAATTTTTAAAGGTGACCACCAAAGGAACATTCCTGTGAAGTTTGGATGAAATTGGCTTAGTGGTTTATGAGGAGATGTCATTTAAAGTAAAAGTTTACGAACGGACGCCGGACGAAAAGCGATCACAAAAGCTCACCCTGTCACTTTGTGACAGGTGAGCTAATAAAAATCAGTCGGGTATGGTATGATAGCATAAATTACAGGTGATTTCAGCTAACAGCAATTATGACACTAGTGCATGCCAGTTGCACAGTACCAGGCCAGCCAGCACTTTTGTTCAATATAACAAGGCTCCACAATGTTGGTTGCTTAATTGTATCAATTTGATACAGATAACAAACTGAAAATATTCTGTTCACAATTCAAAGAAAGCTAAGCCCATAACACTTACACAACATTATGTAACAGTCCTATATTTAAATTACCACTGTGGTTTCTTTGTAATCAAGTGTGATATCCTTAATATATTATTATATACCTCTACAAATATTAGGCAAACAATTATGTTAAGTGCCAGTTTGTTACAATATATTGCAGTCATACTCATTAGGGTAGTGACCTTCAGTAAGTGTTCCTGAATGTAGAGGACAATGACATCAAACATACTGTCCTCGAACAAAAATATCTGTAACATTGATGAATGTTCCCTTACACTGATTTAATTAATTGAAAATACATCACCATACCATAGGAACAAATAGGAAAACAATGATCATGGTCTAATCTACCTGAAACCCCCAAAACTTAAGAGCTAAAACTTAAGAGGTCAACACACTTACATAAGATATCATCCACAAGATGAATTTCCTATGATAAGTACTTACTATGGAATAAAGACAGAAGGAACGAAGAACAGACAAGAAGTCAAAATAACAAAAACACTCCTGCATCCTCAACAAAAAAGATTACAAATGTGCAATATTTAACTTGCAATATATCTGTAGTTTTATTGACTATACTGGAAAAAGCTAAAAATTACTTCAAAGATGAGTATCAAACTAAAGCAAAAACAAAAGGGTGAGAGAGTGCATCAAATTCATATAAACAACAATGGCAAAACATAAATCAAATTTAAATCTGTTTTAGCTAGATAGACACTTAGCTATAAAGATAGAATTACCAAATACAGTATATAAATATCAAATGCAAGTCAGTGCATAGGACATTAATACTTCAAATACTTCAAATTCCTTGAAACAAGAATATAGCATGTGCCAAAATCATCAGAAAACAGTGGGAGACAGAAATAGCATACTGTCAACTAGTTCAGAAGCACTAATAACAAAGGCTTTAAGCGTATATCAACCCTTACCAACCTAAATATCTAATATGGACTTGTCAATCTTTCAATCTGAACAAAACCATTCATTATTGAAGGGAATATTTCAAAATTTAAATATGCAATAAATTAATAGCAAACAGTGCAGACCATGATCTGACAGACGTCACAGATGCGCCAACTGATCTTGGTTAGTGCAATGGTCACATGGAAAGATTTAGTTGTCACCAGCATGGCCTGGATTTAAACTTTTTTCTCCATTTTCTCCTTATATAAATATAAAAAAAAATCCCACAAAAAAAAACAACATAACCATGAACAGTATTGCAATAATCCACTGAAACAAATAAATTAATCTGGTAGAGCTGTAGAAAAATCAATATACTGTAGATGGTACCAGTAATTTAATTATTTTCATTTTTGGTGATTGGATTTTAAGAAACAAATACAATTCATCAACAAACTGCAATCAATACAAATTAGATATAAAATGACAACAGACTGTGTTTAAATTTTAATTAATCATAGTCAATTAGAAGATTGTTTCCATTGACAAAAGCTGCTCGATACTGTACCACTTTTTTAAGTCACATTGACAACTAGGTCGTACAAGGTCAATCAGTGCATATTTCCTAAGCTAGATGTACAGCTCCCTCAAATAAAACAATTCTAGGTGATCCAAGGACCCAGAGGTTAAAGGTAAGGGTGATTTAACCCTAAACTTGCTGAATTTCTAAAATAGACTTGTACACCTTCCATTTGTGGAATTTTATATAAATTGATTTTAGGGATATCAAGATGAAAATGTGAAATCAGCCATCAGTTCGGAGCATGGTCAAACCGCACAGATGCAAAGTTTAAAATTTTTTGTTGCAGCCAGTTCATGATTCAAAAGTTAGACCTTAACTCGGCAGAAACAGCTCCCAATGGAACAACAAACTAAAGCCTTAAAACCCAAGTTAGAAAGCATTCAATACAAGATTTTCAAGTGTGTCAAGGAAAAAAGGCTTAGAACTTGTACAAAACTTTTCTTGCATTTAACTAAATTCCATATTTATACCTTCTTGTACATTAACAAATTTTTTGGTCATGTGTTCTGGGATACACGACTCAGGAAGCTCACGCAGGAACAATTTAAGAAGCCCCGCAACTGCCATGACATCATGATCCTCGTCTAGATTAGCGTCACCATGATGGTCAAAACTAGCTCGTAACTTCTCCACAACACGCTGACTTCCGTTAACTCTAAAAATACCTTCGTGGTCAAGTCCTACAACAAAGTATCATATAACATCATATGTTTTACATTAACTAGACTGGAGTTTCATGTGTTTGGACGCACACCACATACCATTTGGATAATAAAACGTTTTTCTTTCTTAAATGAAAAAGGTCATTGGAAAAATTATCACTAAAATTGATGAGTTGGGAAAGTAAAAAGCTATATAAGTTAAAGTACAAATATTCTGCATGATTTTAAAGAAAATTTCTTTTGGGAAGAGGCTCTTTTATAAACAGTTAAAAATCCTTGAAGATATTGCTCTTTTAAAGTGAATTGGTCAAGGGGTATAGGAGTTATAGACTGGATACAGACTGACTGACTGACAGACAGACATGCAAAAGTGATTCCAGTATAGTCCCCCACATTTATGTTGTGAGGATATAAGTATAACAGTACTACAAGCTGACTAAACTAATTATAGTGATGATATCAGTAAGTTATAATCCCAGATTATATTCTACAAAAATATAAATAAGTGATCATGTATTATAAAAGATGTCTACTTTAAGGTGAACTATGCTATAGAAAGGTTATAAACCATTCATGACTAACAATGACATTGATAGATGGAGACAAAGAAGTGCCTACCTCATCGCTCATTAAAATATCCTCACAACTATAAATTGATAAATACTATCTAAGTATTATATTCAACTTTTCAATGCAAACTTGGTATTGCAAATACAATGTTATCCTTTTTGGTAAGTGTCTTTTTTTTTAAACTTCTTCACTTACCATTATGTTCTATAAACGTGCAAATCTTTTTAACAATGTAAGGCACTTTATGTCCAACAGGTGCTCTTTGCATGAGATCTATGAGTGGTACATTAAAAGTTCTTGGAGATCCACCAAATTTTTTCCTTGTGCCCGGGCTCAACATTTTCTTTGATTTATCAACTGCAGAGTTTGGGGTGAGATATCCCCTAGTCTGAAAATATGAGAAGGAAAAGCAATATTATTTTGTTAAAAGGTGTACAAGTCAAATCAACATTTACAATAATCTGTTACAATGACTATAGTATCATTATAATTGATTTGAATTAAAATGCAAAATATCCATAAATTTGACACCAATAACATTCCCACATACAGTTTTATCACATATATCATACCATTCAATGAAAGACAGTATAATGTTAAATATGCTCACAGCAGCTATACAATACCAACTATCTTTAATAATCTTGTATGGGATATTTTATATTACTTATTGTAATTATACATGTAATATTCCAAGAAAATAACCTATGACATTTTTTTGGAAATATATCTGTATGGATAACACAACACCTTTGTGGGGATTTTTTTTATTGCTTTTTGATCACATTGTTTTGTTCCTGTTATTTAAATCATCTTTTTTAAAAGTAATACAGCATGTCTGTTTTATAAGTGAACTTAATCCAAACCATTTTTATGCACCAAAAATAGAAAGAAGTTAAATTATCAATATGATGTTCTTAAAGCTATTGAAAGCATGAAAGAGCATTAGGTATAGACTACATTATGATATCATCAGATGGGTTACTTAAAGTACCAATTATCGGGTCTGACATTTCACTAATGTACCATTAATCATTCCAACTTTCTACTTCCTTATTATGTGTAGAAAACAATGGCTGTTTAAGATTCCACTTCAAAATGCCACAACAAAAGTTTATATATACAGAAATGTCAGGATGTCACAAAACTCATTCTGGCACAGATTCAATAATAAGGAGAAAGTACCCTTAAATCGAGAAGAAGAAAATCTTCTGTTGGTCAGCTTAATTTTTTTATTAAATTCCTTAAATTTTAAATAGACTATTCAAAATTCAAAATGTAACAGTATAAGCATAAATATTTCCACATTTTATAAACAATAGTAAATCTTTCCTAGCAGAAAATCACCATAATGCAGCTTTTTCAAACTGTTACCTAATATGAAGTTATTGCTTTTTAATTAATTATCTCTTGATACTGTTTGATGTTCATTTTACATCAAGTTCAGCTACAAATTAATATTCAACTCTTTAATGCTAATAAAAACTAAAAATATAGACAAATCCTATGGAAATTACACCTAGCAAATCTGTAAAAAATATACCTGTAAAATCAACAAATTTCAATAAAATGCTAAATATGCAATACCTGTTTAAACAATTAAAAATATTCCAATCAATAATAATTTTTTTTTTATAAATACTCCAATCTTAATAGCCCATTTTGTTTAACAATAACACAAAGTGTAAATACTATCTAATCTGTTTCCTCAATGACAAATTTACTACTAACATTTCAAATGACCGACTTTCAATACAATACAAACATATTATGAACAATATGATGGCCTGATAACTGTGACATCACAGATCGGTTTACCATTTTCCTGTTTTCATCATTAAAGGGGCATGTCCACATTATAGTCATTTATCAAAATCAAGGTGAACATTAAACATGAAACGGGAAGGTCCTGAGTGATGTATGTACTTTAATTTATCATAATTACAAATAATAATCTTATTGCTTTATCCGGTTGGTTTTATGTCAGATAATTTTTATACTGTTTGTGGCATTTAATGTGAAGATTCCTTACATATGAGTAGGCACCTGAGTTGTCAATTCTCCTCACAATTGTGGGCACCTGAAGTGTCTATTTTCCTCACAACGTGAGGACCTGAAAGTTATTATTGAGCTATCAGCCTTACATTTACAGTATACATTCCTCACATATGAGTTTCTGATTTAAATCATCAGCCTTCAATAATTAGTCTGATCCTCCATGTTAGCAGTAGACACACAGATCTCATAATCTCACACCATCAAGTTCATCTTATTCACATGCTGGCACCTCAAAATTGATATTTTCAGGCCCTTTTTTCCCCCTTGCATACAGATACTTAAGTAGATATTGAAACTATATTAAAAGCAGTCTATGTGGACAGTAGATCTTACACAAGACTTCATCACATAAGAGTGTTTGATTTCAAACCCAAAATTGTATGCTAGGCCAATGAAACCAGCTCATTCCTGTTTCTAACATACTACATGTACTTCTTATAAAAAATAATCAAAACATTAATTTCCTAATTTTGATTAATTAAACAACTAGAAAAGTGGATGATATGATTGGATGTAGGATGTATTTAATACATCCTGTCATCCAATCATAATCATCCACTATTTGAGATGACTTTCATTATATCAACAGTGTTGTTTTTAAGAAAAGAATCTTTCATCCAATCTGTGAGGACATTCCCCCTTGTTTAATAATCTACCTTTTCCTGTTTTGAACACATTAACTTAATACACTCATTTTATCATGTCTGTAATTAGAATTAATTACAATAATTACATTAAAGAAAACATGTAAAGTACTTTAGTGTTTTCTTTTGTCATAATGAAGTTAAAGCAAATAATTATTTACTACAATGAAACAACCAAGTAGAATAATTATGATGAAAAGTACATCTTTTATTACATACCATAACATTAATTTTCTATGTGACATGCTCCTTTGATTTAAATACCATCACTAATTACACAATTAATTAACAATCCTACATGAACCAGATTCTAAACAATAATATAAAACACATCTATAATTAACCACATTTTGTAAACATCCATCAATCTCTGTCTAACTACAAACAAACAAAAACTCTACCTACGTACTGTCTCAAATGTTGCAAAAAATACTTTTTAAAGTATCTTTAATAACTTAACTCTTTTTCATATTTTTTTTTTATTTGTTTGGTCTCAAGGTCGTCCAACTTGCAAGGGGAAGAAGTCCCCTGGAGGTTCTCAAAGCAAACTTAAATCCTTGCATAAAAACTGCACATGAATGTGTAAAGATAAAACCATGCAAACAGCTACTACTGTACACTCTAATGAAACTTGCACATTTTATAAACTGTGTCAATTTGTACGCCTGTAAAGATAGCTTTCTGCACCGACCACCCAAATCAGTTTCATCATTAAAATATATTTCACATGAAAACTTCAATACTCAGTTTCATGATTATTATTATCTCTTAATTCAAGGCTACAAAATTGTCTATACAAGCATATTTTCTTATTTCACTGACCTTTGACTTCTATATGTGACCTTTACCTTGGCCATAGAAACCTAAATTTTGTGTGGGACACTGACTCACACTGGCAAACATGTTGTAAAGAAATATATAAAAATGCCTTAAGATCTATGTAAGTAGTAGTTTTGCTCCAAAAAAAGCTTTTTCCTCTGAACTCTAACAGTGACCTTGAACTTAAATCCAGAGACCTAGTTCATGTCTTCAACATTAATATCTATAATGGTGATCATTTGTATCAAGTAATACCAAAATCCTTTCCATTCATGTTTAAGATATGCAACAGACAAAACAGGACACTGTCTGGATGCCACAACATCTACCTGCCTTCACACTAGACCACCATCATCATCGGGGCTGATTTCCATTATATGTCCCTTAAATTTACTGCCAATTGACATGTGCAGTTCCAATTTTAAATTAGAGCAGATTCACATCATTCAATGAATACAGTCATGTTAATGTTTAAACTTCAGTCAATAAACACTGTTTAACAGCTCAGACCAATAAAAACTGATGAAACCAATAAAGCACGCCCACATGTGACCACAAACTCTTGTGTGTGACATTTAAATATTTAATCAATCAGGTATTTATATACTCATCTATATACATGTACATTTTGTACTTTCTAATCTGGCTTTAACCAGAATTCACAGGAATACTATTGTTTTCCAGAGAGAAACAATTTGGAACAGGTACAGGGGTACAAGAATGTCTGATATTCTTGAAGTTATGACAACAATGATGGTTTATATGGTACAACAATCATATTTTTGCAACCATTCATCTCAGGTATTATTTATTTACCAATCAGCTGTCATTGAAAGAATTGTGATTAGATTGTTCATTATTACTTTTGTACTTTTATCTTAGTTTACTAAAAATGTATAAAGAAAAATAAATGGGAAAAATGTTTTTCTTACAGAATTTAAAATGCAAAAATTGACTTATGCACACAAACTCCAGCTTTACAACAAAAAAACTTAGTTTTATCCTCGGCTGTGACCTTGACCTTTGAGCTTGGAACCTAGGACTTACACAAGACATATCATCATTTATACCAGATTATTTTAAAATACCATCATGCATGCAATGGTCATATGGACCAGAAACATCACCCCTCCGTTTTATGGCAAAGGTACTTGGCAATGCTTCAAACCCAATACCTAAGTTGTGGGCACATTGTTACTAAGTGTCTAGAACTACTAAGTTAAACTCAAAGACAAAGCAAATTATAACTCTGGAGCCATGTTTTATACAACTTTTGTATATGACCACCCCAAGGTGTTGCCAATTTTCAAATGTTTGGGCAAGGCAATTTCTTACGATAAGATTGTTAGAGACTTCACTTTTTTAGTCTACTTTTTAGCTCGTGTGACCTACTAATAATTATATCAGAACATTGTAGAGGGCCATCTATGGATGAATTGTGTGATGTGAGTCAAAATTTACATTGTGGTTTAGGAGGAGATATTGTTTAAAAAAAATTGTAGCCGTCACTACAGACAGTGCACAGACAATGCAGTATGTTTTGAAAACTGACTAATATTAATGGTATAAGTGTTTGATTTACAATTAAATCAGGCTCCAATAAAGATGTTTAAAATAAACTGAAGTAATAAGATAGTTTGCCAACAAAAGGTGCAATGTAAACAGTAATCTATTGATTTATAAGACATATGTTATTTTAATCAGTATTACTCATATGTATTTTATAATATATTTGCACAGGAATACAAAATTATAACATAACTTCCTACTTTCTTCTCAATCACCTTTGTCTCTTTGAAGTTTATATTCTATAAAACAAGATTAAAAAATTACCCGCAGTTGATTCCACATCTAGTGCCAATGTCCT